AAAGGTGTGACTAAGGCTGATGCTTTTAAATTTTTTATGTAATACAATGTAAATACAAATTTATATTCAATTTGTGTTTATTTTGTATAGATTTATGTAGTTATCAATTTTTGCATACTTTTTTTATTTATTTATACATCTTTTTTTTTTTTTAGATCTATACATGGAAGTTGTGAAGAAATGCCAGGAAATCGAGACATTATTGAAGACGAGTACTCAAAAGTCTGTGGTGCCAATAGAAGATTCTCTGAAAAAGTTGTGTAATCTGGAGATCGAGAGTCTTTGCCCTGAGAAAACTAAAATGGAGTCTATTACTCATTGCCTGCAGCCACTTTTTGCCGTTCAAGTATTATTGAATCCTAGCACCGAGACGACTGTGTTCGTCAACCAACTGCTGATGGTGCAGAGATTAAAGAGTTATACAAACGCGCGGCTTTATTGCGAGATCATTCGTGCTTGTTTGATGTGTCTGCACAACGTAACAGGAACGTTCAAGGAGTCTCAGTGGGGAGCCTTCACGTTTCTAAAGGTGCCGCACATATTGAAGGAGCTGCATGTAGCTAATTTGAATGGTCGGTAAAATTATTTGAAGTTATCTGGCTGTCGGAAAAATAAAATTTGGTTTTACATCTTTGCATCTTCATAGGTGATGAAAAGTTTGAATACTCGCAAGATATTCTGGATGCATTTGACTTGCTGCTTCAGTTCACACCTCTGCTCGACATAATGGACACCACGTGCTCGTGCAATTACGTAGAATGCTTGCTGAATGAATTGCAGAAAGTAAACCTCGTGACGGAGAAGCAAGCGAAGCAAATTGGCGCTAGGAGGTATGCACCTAAAAAATAAATTTTTTTGATAAAACTTAGTTGAATTTTATTTACGATTATATATCATTGCAGGGAAGGAGCGACTACGACATCATCAATTCCAAAAGTAATTGTACGCGCCGGGCAGACATTAAACGGAATCTTGAGGACCCTGAACGCAGATTATGCAAAGATTCAGGAGGGCTTGCTGAGTGTATTATATCAAGTCTTGACGGGAAAGAGCTTCGAATTGATGCTGGCCGTGGCAACCGTAGAGGGAGAGTTGAAGACCTTTGTCACGAAACTCATCAAGTTTAACGAATGTAGTAAACAGATTAACGAGCCGGTACCTGATAAGACAGCAGCAACGAGAGCAATGTTGTTTGATGTATCATTTCTTATGTTGTGTTCCATAGTACAAACATACGGTTCTGACGTAAGTTTGACGTTAATATGTGTTTCAAATTTCATACACAGAGAAAATTTGTAACTTGAGGTCTGTTCTTTATGGCTAAACCAGTATACACTTGTACTTAAAACAATGAAACAGATATATTTAAAGTTTAACGAAAGAGATAAGTTTTAATGCAGTCCAGTGCAATGACAAAAAATAGGCTTTTTATATGTTAATTACATCTACGTCCAGTTTTGTTACAGAAAATTGATTTTTAGGTTGTTTTGGAAGAAAGCGGAGATTCATTCTTTGAGCAATGGGTGCGTGAATGTATGCCAGAACGGAACAAGCTAAAATCGCCGCAGAGGATGTTACAAAGCGTCGATTCAGCAAGGGTGGACGCTCTGTTGGCGCAGATTAACTCACCGGATCCCGATTTCAAATCGAGCAACTTAAAATGGCACGTTGCATGCCAGTCGGCAATGGGCGCAGTGAAGGAGTTGCTCTGCGCGTGGGAGAGCGGAGTACTAGGTGCTGGTGACGTAAAGCGAGCTCTCGATGGTTTGCGAGCAACAGCCTGCTGTCTGCCGGTCTGTGCTGCTGCTTGGCTGTGCGCATACATGAGCATCACGCACCAAGATGCTTTGCTGAAACCTATGAACATGGTCCAGCACTTCCTGACGCCGCTTTCGGGTGATGAGATGCAGGATAATCTTAAAGACAGGTAAAAAAATGGAATAAATATATAATCAATTTTATATATATATATATATATAATTGATTCCATTTTCTTTAGATGCTATCTCGTACATTTATATATTTGTATGTTACAATTTAAATTCCTCTATCTTTTTCTTTCAGATCCAGTTTAATGGTTCAGATTATTCGGAAAATGCAGTACGACGTGCATCCGCCCACTCAGTCGAAAACGAAGGTTCTCTCGATGTCACACAGGTATTATAGTGTCTTTTGAAAACGAATTGTCATCGTTTTTGGGATTGTCATTTTTATGGCATTTTCATAGTATTATATCGCGTCAACCAATACTGGAACAGTTGGAATCCGTTTGGCAAAACATAAATCAACGTGGGTGGATAAACATACAAGCCACGCAATCGTTAGAGTCCCTGCTAAATACCGGTGGCTCTTTATGGTTTGTCACGAATATAGTCAAAGAAGTATTGAAGTATCGTTATCAAGAAGAACTGGATCAAGCCGTGGACTTGGCCTTTGCAATCTTCCATCTTGACATAGAGAATTGCACTCTAGACCTTATAAATCATATAATACCGCAATATTTACATAATTCGATGCAGTGAGTTCATCTTATTGTCTCGCATCTTGATCAGATTTTTGTACACAGTATGTTTGTTACATGTAAGTTCTGTTTTACGTAGGAGTGACGAGCTTGTGGAACCACAATCATCCATCTTGGCGAAATTATGCGTGTACTGCATATTCTCCACTTTGGAGTACAACAACTCGAACCCGTATCGAGGAAACAGCCGTAAGCGCGTGCGACGCGATCTGGACACGGATGATCTGGATGCTCTCGGCGTATCCAATAAACTTCTTCGACTCAATGAAACGGGCGAGAACGTTCCCATGTTCAGTTCGCAGAGTCCACAGGCGCAGGGTTCGAGTAATGGACAAAAGTCGATGATCATTTTGAGGGATCCGCTTATGACGGCATTGAACAATCTGTTTACCATATTTGCCTTTTTGGCCGGCAGAGACGGTGAGGTGTCTCAACAGACTCATTTCATACTTCAGTTCCTGCGGCTTATGGTGCAGTGTGGGAAAGACAGGACTCGCATTGTGCTACAGGGAATGTCGCAAACACTGGTATGTTTTTTTTTGTATTTGTATCCAATAATTTTATTTTCACTTCTCAATATCGAACGTTTGGAGAAATAATTTATACGAGTTTAATTTTCCTAAAAAAATATTTTTTCTTTCCATTCTTTTCAATTAAACGATTAACTTGAGATAAGTTATTGATAAGTTTGTATATTTGTTTTCGTAGGTACCCTGTCTTCTTAAAGCATTGCCCGAATTATTCACGACTGATATTCTGCTAAGATTGTATGACATACAAACCAACATTGGACGCAAAGCTACCGCACGAGACCTATGCATGTTGCGGAATATTAATCTGAAACCCACAAAATAAAGGCACAATTATCGTAAATTAGAGAATGCATTTTTTTAGGAATTCAGTATTCTATTAACGAGTACCAATTATATATATGTATATATTTAGAGGATTAATATTTGTACATTATGGCCTGTATTCAGAACGCGCTTATAATGATGTTAGCGCGCTAATATGCTATAATTTACGGTACGTATACTATAGAATTTTAGAGATAAAAGCGCGTTCTGAATATGGATCTAAATATATATATATGTATATATGTAGGAGTATATATACATGTGTATAGGAAAATAAAGAGAACCGTAAGACCATTTAAAATATACATAAACACAAACAACCAGAATAATTACAACAGTGGAACACATCGAATACTAGATTTGTAAACAATCCCGATAGACGGATCCCGATAGACTCCGTTAATTTTTTCGCTGGACCCTACATGTATATATGTATGTAATAAATATTAATGCTTTACATTTTTATAATATTTGTACTGCTATATTAGTAGGGTAATTGTAATGGCAATGTATTAGCCATATGAGATAGTCTTTTGCACAATGATTTACATGCTGATTATATATATAATAGCGAAAATAAATAATTATATTCAATAATATATTCAATAATAATAAATATAATTGAACTAATAATATTTGATAAATATTGATTTTGTAAAAATAGAAAAAGGACATCGTGTGTGAGGCATGTTTTTTAAAAAATAATCTTAATATATATATGTACTTCTTTATCACAGATTTGTAATAAACGAATTTTTGAATGTAATGCAGTCACATTCCGAAAATATCTTTAGAAAATACATTCATGACATCTATATTTTAAAATATCTATATTTTAAAATGTTTGAAAAAAATATAAGTTTATAAAATTTATGTACAATATTTTAAATATAAAATTTTCTAATAAATTGGACAGATTATATTTTTATAAATAATTGTGATCATCAAAAAAAATAACAGGAACAGACAATTTCAACCAATCGAAAACGATGCACCATAGAATACACAATTTCCGATAGGATGAAATGGTTGGAATTCTTATTCTCTGTTCCTATTCTTTCATTGTGCGCAGCCTTCTTACAAATTTTTTTTGAATAAAATATATTCTTTAAATGTATGTATGCTTCCATTTCTCTCAAAGAACAGATTGTAGAAAATGTTTTATTTTAGAAATTACAGATAAGTTTGAAGTAACAAAACATAATTTTTTTTAAGAATCTTATTATTTCATACAATTTTCATACATTCCAAATATTTATGTCACTTATAATAAATAAGAACTTTATATATCAGGTCTGTATTCCATTTCTTAGCAACTATTCTTACAAATTATCTGCACAAGTTTCTTAAAGTCTAACTTACAGCCAATGATACGCTAGAAACACACATAGAATACATTAGCAAGTAGTCTATGTATAGTGAAAATGAGTCTTGTATAATAAATGTACATAATAAGAGAAAGAATGAAGTGCATAAAAATTCGCAGTTTACAAGTAGTTTCGATTTATGCTGTACAACGTTTGACTAATATATAGATATATCGTCTTGTATGTATATGTACCTATTTATATATATGCATATTATAAATATTTTTCTATTGTATAACTTATCTTTGTTTTCCTTCATAGTCCAATAATTTTCTGAATTGGAAAGCCAGCGTCAATATAAAATAAAAAAAAACCAGGCAAGAAAATCATACAAATAAATAATGTGACAGTTTTAATCCTTTCCTCGTTCGTTGATAGCATAAACAATTAGGCTGAACTGTGTTTTATAGCCACGGATGCCACGATGGATCCATTCTGCAGAGATTGTCATGACTATTGGCAGCGGCTACCAACGTGCTGACCTTACTATCAATGCCGTCGAAATTTGCCAGAGAGTTCAGTCTAGTAACGATCGCAGTGACTGCGCGAGTCACCATTGTTATCAGCAGCTCGCCCTTCGGATCAGTCGGATCAGGCGATGTGCCCTCGGCGTCTTCTTGCCGTTTATGAGTCGCGATCACTTCGTCTCGCAAAATCGCGCGAAGTATGGCATGCAGCTGGAATGTGGGTTGAACCAAACAACGCGCTGTGGCGATTGCGCTAGCAGTCAACGGTCCGCAAACTCCTGTAAAAGATTAACTTCGTGAAGCCTGAAAGAACTTCGTAATCGTCTACACAATAATGAATTTACAAGAAATACTTCTATATAATATTTAAAAATGTATTCAAGCACAAGAGATATTATTTTTGATTAAGATATTTTTTTATCAACAAATAGATTATATACATCAACAAATAGATTATGCTTGACTGACCTATAGTTGTGATAAACTCGAAGATATTGGGCGTCAGGCGGAAAGGTACCGGTCTGTTTGCATCTAACTCTCCGGAGGTATCATCAATGTCGAACTTAAAGTACGCGATGTTAATTAAACCGGAATCCTGATGTACATACATCATGTCGGGATTATGTCGTGTAAGATGAAGTACGTATTCAGCAAAACATGTTAAAGACAGCTGCAGGGTGAACTGAAAATAGAAAGATGAAAGTACGATGAAGATGCGTTGTTTGTAGTTTTGTATCAATGGTTACATTTTTCGATGTTCGCAGGTTTCTTTACTTCCTTTGGTCAACAATTTAAAAATATTCCTCTTTTTTATTGGATATTTAAAGATATTATAAACAGAATAAAGAGTAATTGTGCGCTTGAGCTAAAGAAGCTTTACGTTATTATATTAATCTGTATAAAGTTAATAAATAAGGTAATATAAAGTTAGTTAAAAATTAGAAGAATTAGTAAAAAAATGTATATATAATAATATTTACACTGTAAAAAAGCTAGTATTTCAAAACCATGATTTTTCCAAAAATAATATTACGAAAGTAAGCATTCCAAAACTTACCATTTTTCTGAACGTCCAGTAATCGGTGGCGCCGGGGAATGTCTTTAATGCCCAATCTTTGAGCAGAGTTTTAGAGACCATTGAGGTTTGCACTTCCTTCAAAATATCCCGCAACACTTGATGACTGGCTTGTGCGCCTCGTGCTTGCACAGCGGCCAATTTCTCGTAATACCTGGCAATAGGTGCGTCATGTTCCATTCCCAGTTTCGCACAACCTTGTTTGTAAATGTCCAAAAGAGAAATTGCTGCCGGATTGTCCTCCACGAGTCTCATTTGTGGAGAAACGGCAACGAGTCGTGGTACTGTAAAGTGTAAGAAACGCCGTGACGTTTCCTTCTGTTTGGTCAAGTAATGATTCAACATGCGCAGCAGTTGTAATAGGCGCTCCTCACGTCTGGCATCTCCCAGACCGGCATCATTGACCACTAAATAAGGGTAGAGACGACCGTTGTGACCGCGGATACGTAATCTTCTGGCGGCCATGTTGTGTCGTTGAACTACCTCAACACGTGGCACAAATTTCGCTATCTTTACGGAATAATGCGAGTGCTAAAAGACATAAAACGTTAGAAAAGATTAACAAAACAGATACCTTCTCTGTTCAATCTCGAACATTACTTTTATCGTCTGACCAAAATATGTTAAGTGTCGGATAGTATCATGCAGTTAAATATTTTTAATTTTAAATTATCGGGATAGAGTAAACTCTATTTTCAATTTTACTTCCGTTCTTCACTCATATTTTAATGGGTCATAAAATAAAATATTGTGTAATTATATATATGCGTGTTGTACGTATTAAAAGATTTTATAATTAGAAGAGTTTAATTTTCTTACCCTAGGTATCAGAAATTCACCAGGTAGTTCAACTTCCGCAGTTTTCAAGCTAAAGTTGGTCAAAAAGCGACATTTCTCCTCAATTAAGAAAGACCTGCGAAACAATGCGCGAATCTGTAGTTCACAAATCGTAAAAAAGAAGTGATTAGAGAACAATTAGAAAGTAAAATATTACTTGGGCAGTTGTTTTGTTTTCTCTTCGAGAATTTTTATCCATTTTTTCAACTTGCTAATGAGATTATGTAGCAGTTTAGCACCAGGCACGGTAAAGTCGAAATCACTCGTGAATTGGCTCTTCATTTTCTGAAAAACGGGATCCTGTACTGTAGCTTGAGCTCTTCGTGCAAGAGATTCCGACGCCGCTGAACTAAACGAGTTGCTCATATTTTGCGAGGACGATATGTTCTCTACAAGTCACAAAATACATATTAGAGAGAAATTGTCTCCTCTTTGTCTTTCGTTTTGTAACTAATACAGAAAGTGAATGGATTTACCAATGCCAATACCAAATGTAGATACAAGTTTTTTTATAAAATTCAATGTATGGGGAGTTATGGTAGCTTCGCTAACTGCTCTACGGTTCTCGAATGCTATTGCGTAACATTTTGTGAGTCCTTGTCTTAATTGCTTTAAAACTTCTTCGTACCATGTCTCACGGATCCACACCATCTGGCATATATAAATTATGATGTTATTTTTTTATACAAAATTAAAATATTAAATCTAGTGTAAAAAGTGCATATATATCTTAATTTTAATTACAGAAATATTTTGAATATATATATGATGATTCATTTTCATCATGACAGGCACAAATATTTTTAAAATATACAATTTTATTAAAAAACATTCCAAATAAAAGTTGTATGGTATAGAGGGAGACGTTCCCCTATATACATAATTTTTATTTGAAATGTTTTTTAATAAAATTGCATATAAACCAAGCAGATACATAATAGTATGAAGTATTTATAAAATGCTTGATTAAACTTTGAAAGCAAGTTTTCGACATCAAAACAAGAGAAAGTTTACATATATATAATATAATATCTAATAATAAATTTTTTTACTATATTTTTTTACTGTGTATTTTCTTTATATACATATAATAATATATATTTGTATATATTATATATATATATCCATTATATATTTGCCGTATTTTTTAATGTCTTATTATAATGTTGAATGAATAAAAGATTCAAACCTGATCGACTATGCCCTCCAAACTAGATAAAACAGTTGGATGGATCTCTCTCTGCATATGCATGATCTTTGAGCACCTCCACATAGGCGCCGTGGCACGAACTGTATGACTCGTTTCCGATGTTCCTTGTTGTGGTACGTTAGTTGAGCTTCGATTTTCGACACCATCTTGACTCTTATCAGCAGCCAATTCACCGCTTTTGTATCTCTCTCTTTGTTCAATTTTCAATGTTAAATAAAGAGTACGAGCGGAGCAATACACTGCCTGTGGGAACATTCTACCCACTTGACTTAGTAAGTTAAGAATTACAGTTCCTTCGTTGCGCACCAGGTACATCAACAATTGTGGTACCCAGGGCAACCATTGAATGGCTGGTACGCCTACGGCATACTTGTCTACGGTTTCCATGAGCGAACACTTGTCGTCGTCATACGTGAGCAACCATAAAATTTTGGCAATGTATTTCCTCGACTTTGATTCATTCTGATGCCGACAGGCATGTAAAAAGCATACAAGAGCATTTATGCCGATGCTGATTTGACGAGCGTCACGTATGAAGATATTTTCAAGATAATCGCCCCATAGGGACCAAGCTTTCACCAAAGTGTCATGTAATTGGGTCGCAGCAGAGAAGCTTTTGTTGGCATCATCCGAACGACCTAGTTGCGATTGAAGCATGCCTTTCAGCGCGTAAAATTCCGCTATCATTTCTTTTGTAAAGTATCCCATATTTGTTGAATCCAACACTTCTAAACCTTCTTGCAACTCATTTTGTCCTCCCATAGTGGCCATCTGTAAATAGCACTTTACTTGTTGTCTGATTTTCTGGAAGCAATCGACCATAGGTACGCTCGTGGGAATAGTATAAATCTTGGCCAACGAGTCCAAGCATACACCGCACAGGTTCTGTTTCCTCGAGATCTTTCCAAAATGAATAATCGCCTGCATAGAGGCATGCACGCCGAGTAATGAGTGATTAATCGTTTGATCTTGTTGAGAATCATAGTGATTGGAGATAAAGGTGTAGTGATGTTGCCGCCAGGTAAAGATATCCGACCAATGGCTGAGATCATCGGCTATTACAGGCAAACGATTGCGCCACGTTTTTACGATAGCCTTCATGTCGTGTAGTGAATTACTTCTGCCATGTAGCAATCCTTGATGGATTTGCATTGCCTCCTGAAGCTCCATTATCTGTTGGGCTGCTTGTAACAGTGGCTGATGTACATGACTGACAATACGTGGTAGTCGACGCCATTCACGCAGACATTGAGTAGATGCAAGCTCGACGAAACGCTCAATGGCGTTCAGATGCTGCTCCTCGCTACTGCACAAGGTTACGAATCCACGATACAGACTGAGCTACAAAAATATAAAAAAAAAAACGTAAAAATTCATCATCTTTTAGTACTAAAACATGTACATTTATAACGTTTAAAATTGTACTACAAAGTCAGCATAAGTGTGAATTGAAAGAATTATTATAAAATCATAAAATGTTTTACCTTTTTCTTGAAAATTATCATATCTTACCTTCCAGCTCATTTCTCTCGGACAATTATGTTCCAGTTGTGTCAGAATTTCTTTCATCACTGGCCAATTGGGAATACGCCACGCGCTATCTAGGACGAGGAAAGGATTTTTGTAATTGTTCTGGCTGCCCAGTTCTAATAGAATCTCCCATTGATTCTGTTCTTTCACAGTGCGCTCCCAATGTTTCTCCCAAAGAAGCATTTCCACGTTGAGGTGATAAGGTGCCGGGCCAGATGGGTAATCCTGCCGGAACTTGGACATGCACACCTCGTACGCTCCTTGTGCCTGCTCAAAGAATCCTTGCTGTTCTAACGCAATCGCGTGCAGGGTCTCCTTATAATGTGCAGGCCTTTTCTGCCATAGACCCGACCACATGTCCTCCTCGCAAAGTAATGAGTACATTTCCGAGAGCATGTGCATCACCTCATAATAGGGAGTGACGCACTCGACTTGTTCGACGTCGTCAGGCGAGCGATATAGGTCAAGTTCGCCTCTATTCTTCATGTTACCACCGTTACCCTCCGCTGTCATCTCGGCGCCCATCTGCTCTAGACTTAACGTTATTCGGTGCCAAACATTGTGGGACCTACCCACGTATTTCATTACGGGTGGCGGTATGGCCACCGGTGGTTTGCAGTGTGCCATTGCCTCTAGGAAGGTGCCGAGAGCGCTTGGATGGCAGTCCTTTTGGATAACATGTGCGCCACTGGCGATGAACGGTACTATCTCCATACTTATGGAATTGATATGAGATTCTTCTAAGATAGACCATATTCGTGGGAACATGTCTAACCAGACGCGCTCCGCCAACTCCGTATCCATGTGGCATAGTTGAGCAGTTGCCAGTAACAACTGCTCCGTTTTGATTTTCTTTGCATTCTCTATAAATTGTATCTGTTTGTTGATCATCTGCGTCAAGCTGGGCTTCTCAAAAATTTCCTCGGAGGTGGCGGTGACGCTTGTCGAATCCGAAAGATTGGACATCCAAGCGTCCATTTCGAGGAATGTGTCCTTTGAGTCTCCTTCTGGTATCTTGGTGTCCAGTGGCTCTTCGTCAGTACGACCGATACGACAGACGAAGTGCGTTTGATCCTTGCTTTCCTTTTCCATGCCTCCTTGCATGATAGATGTGATGCTAGGCAGCAAAAGATCTTCATTGGTTATTTGTACCAAAGTAGAGGGATTGACGGTGGCCAGTAGCAACTCGATGCACTGTTTGATCCAATAGTGAGGTCCTATATGCTCCCAATTCTGACTGACGATAATGTACAAGATACGATCGACCAAACGTTTTTTCATCGAATTGTCAAATACTTCGAAGAATTTCGCTCTTACTTGCGACTGTATACAACGCAGACCGGCTAGAAAAGCCTGCTCTAATTTATTCGATAATTCCGTCATTTTCAGAGTCTCGTCTCGATAAACGTAATTCACCAACTCCAAGAATTGCCTGTTCAGCTCCAGATCGTCGGGGAAACGTTTCTCGACATATTGCATCATTTTCACTAGCAAGATGGATTTTTCGCGCAAACTGGGTGTCTGATTCATTGCGATGGTGGTCTTGTTCTTCATCCATTCTTCCAATATCTTTGTAATGGCTTTCATCACCTTGACATCTTGCGTCTTCTCGATTAAGCCGACCAAAATCGTGCCTATGAACGATTTGCGCATATCGACACCCATTACTGCTACGCGATTCTTTACCAAATCTAAGCTGAGAATTAATAATTCACTCGTGACAGGGTTGGCTTCAGTCTGTGTAGAGTGCAAATGTTCTTTAGCCATTTTATGCAACACTTTCATGAATGGAGTTATTAGCCGGTCGACATAACTTGGATTGTTCGTGCAGGCTGCTTTAAGCATCATAAGTGTGCCAAAAAGCGAACTCGGTGTAGCCGTGGTAGTTTTCTCATACGTAGCCAGACCTTCGGCTATAAATCTACTTACAGTTGTGTACAATGTGTCCAACTCCTCATACTTAGGCGTCATATTTGTGGAAGCTAGTTCAGCCGGGAAAATCGTCATTAATCGTGACAGCAGGCCATGTACCAGACGTATAATTTTAGTGTTGCTGCTGGCAATGCAAGAACCTATTCCACGTTGCAGTGGTTTAAAACTGACAAGTATTTGTTCGCGCTTCATCACGCCTAACAAAAACGTTAACACTTCTAATGCCATGCTGATGTTACCGTAGTTAGGCTGAGAGCTCTCTACGCTAGAGAGGACTTTATCGAGCCAGGATAGCTTCAGGTCACAGTGTTCAGCAATCCATACGTCGGGTTTCAGTGCCATTTTCAACAGAGCGACGCAGCGTCTGGATAATTGCTCGCCTGGATTACCGTGAATGGTCGTCACGTCATTCACTTGACAAGCCAAGCGTAGTAGGAAATTTAGGACGGCATCCGCGTGAGCTCTCTCAATAGGTTTCGTCGATCCTGGTTCCATTCTGGGTAGAATAAGAGGCACAGGACTGTTACCGGATGGCGTCTGTGAGCTCAAACGTTTACCAGAAGGATCATCGATAATCGCGCGTTTCAAACACGATGGTTGACCAACAATTACTCTGTTAGATTCTGTGGTTTCAGCTTCTTCCTTGATTCTATACAGTTCCCACTTTATGATAACTTCTGCTAATTCAACAGCTAAACGTCGATGTTCTATAGTAGCGGTCGGGGTGCATCCTATACGTTGAACCGAGTTTACTATATGCTGAACCAAATGGTGCCTGACTGGATAGTAAACTTTGTAATGCCTTACAACTAGTTGTAAAATATGAGATAATTGTTGCATTGAATGACCTTCTTCCACGATAATTTTCTTCGTCCAGTGTGTCAACATAGTATTACCATCTTCCATACGGACAGGCATTGCAGGTGTCAGTATTTCCAATGCTTGTCGTACAACATTACGCGCATCCACGGCATGCGCCTTTAGCAAGCTGTGAAATACTTGCAAGACTATGCGCTTGTGAATAGCAAATTTAGCAATTATGTGACTGAGAAGGAGATGACCGTGGTATCTAGTAGTCGGATCTACGCAATTCTTACCTAGTAGGCAAGGCCAGGCGAATGTCATTAAACGACGCAATTTATTTCCTTGCCTTTTATTAGTAACATCGTGAATGTGCTGCGATGCCTGTTCTACTAGAAGACAAGAAAATTGCAATAGAGAGATACGGACACAATCGGCAGAACCAAATGGATTGTCCGGATCAATTATTTTGCTAATAAATACAGATACAACATTCTCAGGGTTATCTTGATAAGGCATCGGTGCGCCCCCAACCAATTTCATACCTTCGCCGCGCTCAAAACTTATCGCAAAACATGGAATTATAATCAACTGCAGAACATTGGCCTTCAACTCTTGTGACATGTTGTTCGTGGGAAAATGTTCAACGAAACGAAAGAAAGCACTTCGTTTCCATTCGACTGTATATTCCTGAGCCACTGTGTTCTCTAGAAAATCTCTCAGGAATTGAAAGTCTGGCACAAACCGATCGCATGTGGCCCGAAGCAGTTGGAACAGTAGATCAATATCGTTTGGTTGGTGACGGAAATAATGCAGGAGAATTTTGACAATGTGCTTTGGTTCCTTCCAATGGCAGTATTCGACACCTTCGACTTTTTTGTGTAATGTCTGATAGTCATCGTTGTACCAGATCTGCTTCAATGCTCCTACCAACTGGTTCTGAGTAGATAACCATTGTTCGTCGTACTTGATAAGTATACCAATGATCTTGATCGCTCGATACTGCACTTCGCTCTTTTCCATGTGAGTCAAACTGGAATTCGTTTGCGAGTGAGCGAGCAGCATCGTGACAAGGCGCGCTGTACTGTTGTGTAAGATATCACGAAATGGTTTACCGTCCTTGTGGCTAATGAGATACTCTAGATATCTGTTCCATTGTTGATCTTTGATATTGCTATCATGAAGAAACAGATTGAGCGCATCTGTCGGATAACGTAAAAGACACTTCATTAGAGGTTCTTTAAAGGGATTGGACACTTCGACTAGCAGCGATTTTTCAGTTTGTAAAATGAGTCTACAAAGCGCGTCATTGAACTTTGGTAACGATGCCGGAATGTCGTGATATATTCCTATAATGATGGTAATTTTTTGCTCGTTCTCACCGGATTTTGATATACCTTTATGAGATTGAATCAAATTTTCCAAAAACTTCTTCACATGTTGCAACATTTGTTCACATAGAGTAACGCTGAAAGTGCTCGGGAAGAGCTGCGTCAGATATGATAGCCTCCTGACACAATTCAGACTCAGGTTTCTATGATCACCTAATGTCAATAACATAGGTCGCATCATTGTATGGACAGACTCCATATCGAGTTGATAACCAGCAATGAATGTTTTCATGCACTCAAAGGCTGTCTCCTGTAACTCAGCATGTGGTTTTTCCAAAGCTCTGTATAAAACCGCGAGTATCTTTTCCCGATAGCCAACAATGTAATGACAGGCTGCGAGAGCTCGTAATGCTGATTTTCTTACCGGCATTAGATTCGAAATCGATTTATAACAAGCAAATTTATTGAGAGTGGCTTCATCCGCGTCGCAGATACCCACCACTTCTTGCAAGAATATCTTGTGCTCCATGATGGTTAAATCAATAGTAAAAAGACGCGGATTCAAGGTGGTGCAGAATGTATTACCATCCATTAAGCCGATTTGTGCGTTTGTCGGTTGATGCCTCAAAAGATGCTTCTTGGGTGGTATCACATCTGCTAAAACTTCCTTATGCGGCTCCATAACTTCCGTCACCGATTTGTTTTGTATTTCGGCGAGCTGACGTATCGAGGCCATAGCCTGTTCACGCACGATCGTGTGCGGCGACGTCACTTGCTTGACCAGTTCGCGGGTGACTTCGTACAAGCTCTTGTTTTGAGCTTCTATCAATTCCATGTTACCCTCTTGAATTCCAGGATTCACACAGACTCTTAGCATTTTTTCTAGATTTTCTTTTGCCATGTCGATAGCACCGTTAGACACTTCGTCTGTTAAATCCATCATCACAAATATGAGAGCCTTCAGAAAGACAAATAAGTGATTGAGAACCCATTTAGTAGCCATTCGTTCGAATAGAAACTTTATCGCTATGCAACCACCAAGTTTGGCATACCAGGCGCGCTCGTAACACAGCGAACACATTCTTTCCGCTAGATACTCCATGAAGGGCAATTGGCAGGCTCGTTCCTTGGAACCCAGAATATTCGTTGCTGTTTCTAATATCAATACAAGCGTCAAGTACCCCGCTTTATATAGCTCTCTCTCATCGTGACCCATTATAACGGCAAGAGCATCGATCAAAACAAATGGGTCTTGACCTTGCATATCCTTTCGGATTTCCTTATCCGTCCAACTGAATAAACCAGCCTGTTGCGCTATGGCAATCATCGTGTAATGTCTCACAACGGCAACGACGGTGACGAGAACCGAAGGTCTCAATTCTTTGATTTCTACTGCAACAAACATGCCAGTCAATGCGGTCTGCTGAACGTTTCGCGCCACGGTATCGAAGCATTTATAGTGTGGTCCTTGTTGAGGCGGTATCTCTCCTTCTTTAAAACTCGGATGCGTAAACAAGTCATACCACAGATAAGCGGCGTCGTCCATTCTTAAGGACGCGGCCAAGTAGCAATATATAATCTCCCAACATTGCTTACGGTAGAACACATCCGTCGTGTTGGATTTCAATGCATTGAACGCAGCCTCGATCACTTTTTCCATTGGAAAATCGATTGGCTGGGATAGTCCTTGGAAGTAAACTACTACATTAGGAGAATTGGTTTCACGGTCGTTGTATTCCAACTTTTGCGGCTCAATCATCATTCTTCGATTTCCACCACCAAATTTACCAAGAACCCGGAAGGCGACAACACCTTGATCGTTAGAATTATGTAGTGTCCTCCAGAGAGCTTGCATTAATTCAGCACGAATTGGTTGTATATGTTCGTACAAAAAATCCGGCTGAAGATTATCAACGCATAACTCTAGAGTGCGAAGACCTTGGCTTACTAGACAATAACTTCCGTTGAGAGCGGAGACCAAGGGATCCATTAGCATCGGAAGATACGGTAACAGAGAACTGAGACGCACAGGTACAGTTAAGCACAGTTCGACAAAGAGATCTTTCATATGTTGTCTATGTAAGCCGGATTGTAGTCTATTCAGTCCTTCCAGCATATTAGGAAGCAAAGGTAAGAATTCTTGATATAATAAGTCATGAGAACCGCCACCTATTGATCGAAACAATGCGCGCAGCAACAGAAAATAATTATACGGTTCCTTTGCTGACATTGCTAACTCCATGGCACGATTTACGATTAGGTTCAAATGTGGCCGCAACATATGTTCATTTTCGGCAGGAAATAGCGATACGCTGCCGAAAACAAGCTTGAACAATTTTAGATACAAGTTACTACGTTCCACGTTTGAGCCCATTTCGCTCATTCGTTCCAGTAAATATTCCACTAATATTGTCGCAAACGTCGAAGAAACAGTGTGGCTCGACAAGAATGAACTTCCAATTATTTGTAAAGCGCAGTTTTTGAATATTCTTTCGACCATATAGTCTATGGATACGGAAAAGATTTCTTGGAATGTTTGGGGGTTCATTTGTGTGAATACATTGCCGAAAAGATCTAACACCTCCTTTTCTTCTCGCGTCCGTATAGTTTGGGATTGCATCGGTCTGCCTGGCTGCGCGGGAACGCCTATGGCTGGTGGTCCTATCGTATAAATGTCTAGAGCCGGTAAAGCCCACTTAACAAGTTGTATATAAATCAAAGTCTCTTTCGGCTGAAGCTGATTAGTTTGCGGCACCTCGTTGTTTCGATTATTGATACAATTAGATGTTATAGCTTTAGTACCGTGTACCAAACTCTTTACTAAATTCCTGTAATCCGCCACATTGTAGCTCATCGCCTGTGAAGTCGGAAAACCAAACTTCGATTTTGGCGGTTCTTTCTCCTCACTTACGTCGAGACATGGTTTTGTATCTTCGGTCGTATTGTCCGCTACGGCTGGCCGTAACTGTTTCGTTTTGTTTCGCAGAATTGGAATATAGATCTTGGCAATGGTTTTAAATTTTAGAACAAAAACCAACAGTATACGTATCAACAGTTCGCGTCCTTGTGTGCTGTTCTCAGCATCGGACCTTTGCCTAACTGTATCCACCAGGTTCATCAGTAACTTACAAGAAACCATCTGAACAGCTGTGGGTAAGGTTTGATCGAGCAAATTCTTGCCATACAAGTGCACCGCTCTGGACACGTCACTGAGGGGTAACTGAAGCCTAACGTGATGTACTAAATCGGCGAGTGTGGAATAAGCTAGAGGTCTCAAGGCCTCGTGAGCGGTCCAACCATGGCCGATAAAAATATCCTCGTTAAAGAAGATCTCCATATGAGGAATAAAATGATTTCGTAAATCCGTAGCTAGTATGTGGCGTGAAGCTATAACGAGTTCTTTACGTAAGTGAGCTACTTCCATCGGACAGAGAGTAAATAAGCCAAGTATACCTTTGACCAACATCGTACTGTTTTGCGATATTAAGTCTTGATAAAATCTCATGACGTAGGCAAGAAATGAAAGTGTTTTGACTTGTGCGCCCATAAAGTCAACGAAGACTTCCTTATTGAATCCAGGTGATGTTCGATGCTGGAGACTAGGTTGGAGCGATATAGTCGTTATCACAATCGGAACGAAATCTGATACATCTTGGTGTACATTCTGCTTGTATAATTGATTCAATAAAACTACAATTATTGGTAATTCTTGAAGTACCTTGAGGGACAGCACTGCTTTCGGAATCAAATTATACTGAAAATAATAAAACATATAATTGATTTCAATTTTTCTTTTTTTTTTTCGTTGATTTGTACTTTCAATCATGCTCTATATACGAATATTATGAATTCTACAATCGAATTAAATAAGTAAGGAATACTTACAGTCACAACAGTACCATCCGCAGCTTTCTTTTCACTTTGTATCGCTGTAATCGTAAACGTTTCCTTCAATAGAGCTTCTATGTTAATTTCTGACAAATCTTTCACACGTAGAGGAGGACGCGGCTCAAATATTTTTGATAAATTTTTTGGTAACTCGCTATACACCGACTTGACAAATTGAAGGAAATATTGAATCTATAGCGGAAAAAGAAAAAAATGATTAAAATACTTTAGACATAAAATAAATGAATGGAATAACACGTGGCTTTATGTGAAACCGATTGATTCATAATCAGCGAAACTCCGGAGTCTCAAATTCAAATTCGTTTCAATTCGAACTTCTTATGCTATATATATATCTGATTATAAAAGATTGAAAGAGCTTAAAGCGTTCAAAAATTGTAAACAAAGGAATATAAAGTGAATTGTAACTCAAAATAATAAAGTGGTACATATATACATTATTACTCACTTCTGGATTAAATGTCGGTTTATATTGTTTATGAAGATCGATTATGATGCGTAAACACACCAACACATTTTCTTCATTATCTGTTTCTAGTAATTTAAATATAAGAGTCAAAATTTGCCTAACATATGGACGCAAGTATTCATTGCTTGGTAATCTGTGTATCATTTCCAGAATTAGTTTTCGAACTTGTTGAATATTGTATTCTGATATAAAGTGCGGCTCTCCCTCTTGCAATATCTTCATAAAGATCTTCATCATATGGTCGAGAAATCCCGCATATTGTGATGAACACATGATGATCTACAATTAATTTAATAGTATATTGTTATAATTAATATAATTAAATATATATAATTTCTTTCAAAAGATAGTTAATAACTATTATGCTACATGAATAATCTTAATATTTGTATGACAGTTTATATACCTCAAAGTTTTCTGATAATTCTTGAGCTGCTTTCAGTTTCAATTCATCTTTTGAAACTGGATCAGCCAGCATGGTGACGTATGAACGATATGTGTTCATTTGTGTTACTGGATCAGGTGCCATTTTAATAATTATAAAAGATTCTTGTAAATACTATAGACAGTCCATTAGAAGATCTAAAAATCAAATACATACATGTAGAAACGTACAAGAAAATTTAAATTAAAACTAAATATATAAATGTGACGCGTGTAATTATTATTACATAAAATAGTTTTCTTTTTTATACCTTTATAGTCCAATTTTTAAACTTTTGAACAAGAATTGTCTTATGCTACTCGTTAATATAAAATTATAAAGCATACATATATTAACAAATATAGTTAAATATTAAATATCTAATATAAAAATATTTATTTCTCACAAATGTTGAGCTAAAGGAATAGGTATGTATGACTTAAAATCAATGATTCTATATTGTGTAAACAAGCCTTAGCAACCATTTTGATCAGTATACTAGAATCTTTTTTCATTTGTATAACGTATATTTAAAAAAAGAATATGTACTATGTAATTTGTTGACTTTTGTAGTAGCATATTATAAGATAATATGCAAGTTATAGTAGGCGATATAAGAATTCTATGATATAAAACATACTCCCAAACAAAGATGTCCTACAAACTCCATGTAGCTCACGAGATACTATACTTTTATTGTAGATGTATAAGACACTGGAAACGCAATGCAGGTTTCAGTTTACTAGTATTGCTACAAGCGATAAGATGCAATCTCGGCTGATTTAAATTTTTAAAGATCAAGGCACATTAAAAACATGGATGAAACAACGATTGATTCAATTTTTTCGGGATCCTTGAAATCCTTACCGCCTGTCAGTTCGAAAATTGTGCGGATATTTACGAGCTCGACCTTTACTGGTAAGCTATTAATAGTCAAGAGATAATAAAATAAGATAGTAAAATAGAAAATTTAATGTTAAAAAGTTTGAAAGAAAACAGAAAAGCAATATAAAATGACTTAATGCAATATGAAATAGCATTATATTTATTGACTATATATATTTTATTATATATATTTTAGACACAACAATGGAAAGAAATACTTTGATGGCACAGTGCTATCCCAAACTTAAAGACTATTGCAGAGAAAAACATGGTTTAGAATTTCAGGTAGGACATTATTTCATAAAAAAAAAATATCAACGCATCAAAACAAATTATTTAGCAAACTGATATATACTTAGATATACATAGTAAAACATGAGTTATACATCTTGAAGAGAAATTGATTTTTACGGTGCCAGGTACCAGTAACATACGTATATGACTCGACCTTTTCATGTTAATCTTTGATAGAGATCGGACAACTTGATAATTACATTTAGGTTACATATATATATATATTATGTAATTAAGTAGATTTGAGTAATTAACGAAATCAGATGTTGTATAAATCGTTATCACCGTACTTTATTTATCTAATTAATACTTTTTTTCTGGTTAATAATAATATAAACTAACATATTGTATTATTTAAAGAAAATAAAAATTTGCCTTACGTAATGGTTAAATCCCTTTTCGCAGGTAGTTGATATGAGATGGGGTGTACGTGATGAAGCCACCGACGATCATATGACTACAGAGCTGTGTATGAGAGAAATAGAAAATTGTCAGAGACTGTCCATGGGACCCAATTTCGTTGTCAGTAACTTGCTCTTTAATTTAAATTATTTAATCCTCGATTGCTAAAATTATTTGTCGAGAGTATATACATGTTTAACTTTACAATTAAATCCAGTCTTTCAGTAAAAAATCAAACTATCTTAAAATTTTAGAATTAAAATTATCAAAGTATTTTTTTAACAAACTAATATAATAAAAATTTTATATATGCAGGTATTCCTTGGACAAAAGTATGGATATCGTCCTATACCAACATATGTTCTCAGTTCAGAACTAGAGATGTTAAGAACAGAATTGGACGGTCAAGGAATGGACGTTAGTGTTCTGGATAAGTGGTACAAGAAGGATAGCAATGCTGTGCCACCTACAAGTATATTGCAACCGATCTCATCTATCCTTAAAAATTTTAACAATAAAGTAAATAACTTTCAACTAGTTTAGTAATGCTACTTATTTAATTCAGAGACTACTAATTATTTACATTATGCAAGTATTTCTTTCTTGTAATTATATCTTTGTGTTTGTACATCTTTAAGAGAATACCTAAACTGCAACAAGAGGATCAAGCAATCTGGTGGGATACTATGTGCAAAATGCAAAAATTGTTTAGGAAGGGCGCGCAATCTTTATTTAATTCCGGGAAGTTTGATAAAGATACAATGCATAATTATTTCATGTCTGGTAAGAAAGACCCAATAGATATAATAAATAGCTCGGTCTTAATAAAGTATTATATATACCGATAAAATAATAAAAAATAATAAATCTTCTACGTCTCTGTTGATAAAGATAATTTTTCATACAATTTTAAAAATAATCATTCAAAAAATATATAAAATTATGTCCCAATATAATTATCTAAAATTTTTAATCGTTAATATTAAGGCCGAAATATTTTTTAGACTACATTCAAGTACTGCATATCATACACATTTGCATTCTAATAAAATCTTAATATAATGAATCCTGAAACAGTGACTGAGCGGGAAGTGATTAACGGCGTGTTGAACGTTAAAAATACGAAAAACCATTGCCTGGCGTACGTGCGGTATATAAACAACATTAATCTCCAAAATCTGAGGAAGGCCAGTCTGTTTCTGGATATAGCTAACAGAAGTTTAGACAATGAAGCCTCGAAATTATTGGCCGATCTTAGAGATGAACGGTTACCGAATAAAATCGAAAGCACGAATCTGCAGAGGTATACTTTCTTCTTTCCCGAAAATACACAATAAGATATTTCTGTTGTGATTACTTTGGTTTTTTTTAATGCAGGTACACGGTCGAATGGATAGGAAGAGAGGGTCTGGATCCTGAAACCCATGGCGAGTACCTTCAGCACTTCATCACTCACTTTTACAGAAACATAGTGAAGCTTGTAGACCGCGCCATGAGGAAGGAAGACAATTCCGCGCAGGGACAAATAATAACCGAGATTTTGCAACACCTGCACGCCTGCAATAATTCTGTAAAGGTAGAAATTTATCAAGATTTTAAATTTAGTTGAAATATAATATGTTAAGTATTAAATTAATTTGTTGTTGTTATGCTCTTTTAAATAAAGTTAGAAGCAAAGTTTAAAAAAAATAAGATTGACAAGCTTATCACATTCACAGGTATTTTACGGACGTGAGGACACGTTAGAGAGAATAAAAAATTACATGCTAGGCGACAGCGATAAGCCATTAGTGTTATACGGAGAAGGAGGATGCGGGAAGACTTCCCTTTTAGCGAAAAGCGCGGGTTTGACGAGCAGTACCTGGCTGACTGGTAAGAAACCGATCAGCATAATTCGATTTCTCGGCACTACTCCAGACAGCAGTGCGCTTACGCCCACGTTGATCTCAATCTGTCAACAAGTGAGTATTATTTATACTTCTCTCCGTTTTGAAATATGATAATGAAACGTTTTTGTCGTTATTTTCAGATCTCATACAATTATGGATTATCATTTGAAGAAATCCCAGACGATCTCGTGCCGCTCACAGCCTACTTTAAATATTTGTTGACCTTAGCTAACACCCAACAACCTATTCTGCTGTTTCTGGATAGTGTCGATCAGCTGACAGGTGTACAGGGTAACAAATTATCGTGGTTGCCTACAAGATTACCACCAAACTGTAAGGTAAATGTGAATGCAGTCATTAAATAATGTAGTATAATAAAAGAAAATAAATTACAAAAAAAACAAATTAAGAAAGAAAAAAACTTTTAAGAGAAAGCTTAAATTCCGGTCGTGTCGATTTTGTACGAAAAGAATTCTAACTTTGACTAACGTATACGTATATGTTTCAGATGATTTTATCCTGCGCAGCGGAGGAATCAAATCCAGTAATTTCGAGAGATTATCAGTTGTTACGTAGGATGATAGACACCGAAGAAAGCTTCATCGAGGTAACTGCCTTGGGCGAGGATTTAGCTACGGACGTGATAAGGTGAAGAAATAATCATCAATATTGTTAAGAAAAAGATTTGCTTTAAATTGATAAAAAAATATTATCTGTTTTGAAACTTGTATGTTATTCACAATTCTTGCAGAATGTGGATGAAAACAGCCAGAAGGGATCTGAATAACTACCAATGGCGTTTGGTGGCGAACGCTATATCGAAATGTTCCCTACCGATCTTTGTGAAGCTTGTGTTCGCAGAGATTTGTCGATGGCGTAGCTACACAAAACCGGCGGACACGCACTTAGCTAGCACAGTGATGGACAGTATAATGATGTTGTTCGAAAGGATTGAGAAGCAGCATGGCAAAATCTTAGTCTTCCACGCTTTGGCTTATATCACGGCTGCCAAGTCTGGCTTGTCGGAATCTGAGCTCGAGGATCTGATTTCCTTGGACGATAAGGTTCTCGACGATGTTTACCAGTACCATTTGCCACCGGTGAGACGCATCCCACCTCTGTTGTGGACCAGAATACGGAATGATTTACCCAATTATCTGAGTGAAAGAGAAGCGGACGGTGTGAGTGTGTTAAACTGGTACCATAGACAGTTCAGGGACACGGCCAAAGAGCGATACTTTAAGAACATGAACATGGCAATGTATTTTCACTCAATGATTGCGGACTACTATCTGGGAATTTGGGGAGGCGGCAAACCGAAACCTTTCAAATACACCGAGATACAGAGACATCGGTAAATAGTGACACTATTACGATAAGTAATACTTTGAATTTCAGTGTATTACTTCATGGCAAAGACAAAAGAATAATTCTCACAAACTCATATACAAAGATTTAGCTTTTTATTTTTAAGATAATGAAATTAATGATTTATTTAATTTGAAAAAATGTCATATTAAAAAATTGAATCCAAAGGGAAAAGTTAATTTTACTATTAAAGAAACATTGTATAAAGCAATAAACTTTACATATTACAATTTGTAGATTCAATTTAACAGACAAGGAAGGTGTGGCGGACAGAAAAGTGCCGGAGCAACCATTAGCGTTTTATTCAAAGGAGGGAACTATCTCAAGATATAATTTACGAAAGGTACTACGAAAAATGCTATAATAAAGATGATTGCTAAAGATATATATTCTTTGTTTCACGACTAAAGTTTGGCGAATTACCATTTCACTTGGTAAGAGCAAGGCGCTTTAAGGATCTCTTCGAAAATGTTTTATTCAATTATGAGTGGCTGCACGCTAAGCTAAGCTCTTGTCCTTTGCAAGCTGTGCTTTCTGATTTCGAAGACGCGTGTAACTTTGTTGACAACCAAAGTTTGGTCAGGTAAGTCAGAGAGATCAAATACTTTTTCGGACAACACAAAAGTTTTAATAATCTCTTAATTTGTTATATATTCTAACTTTTGCATATCTCGATTTAGATATTTCAATTCTTTTATAAATATTTATAAATAATTTATGGACACTATTATTTGATATTTTTAATAATCTAGAATATCTTTCCAGAGAACTTATGTTAGTTGCTGATGCTCTGAGATTAGGCGGTGCGATCCTGGGAAATCATCCTGACATGCTTGCGCCACAATTGATCGGTCGATTGTTGCCGGAGATCGGTGCAAATGTTAATGTGAGAATGTTGCTCCGAGCATGTGATCATGACGGTGTTAAGAATTGCGCTCTGCTTCCTCTTTATCACTGTTTGCATACACCTGGTGGACCATTGAAAGTAATCCATACATTCATTTATATAGCAAATTATTTGATACTTTTAATCAAAAAACTCTGTGCTTTCTTCAATAAATTGTAAAAATTATATATTGCGCTACAGCATATAAAAAAATCTCTTCGCGGAACTATGTAATTTATTTGTTAGAGGAATATCTTTAAAACATTATTTTCCAGTATTCGTTGGAAGGTCATCAGTTCGCGGTATTTGGATTTTGCTTAACGTCGGATTATCGCTATATCGTATCGATATCCAATAAATTTATCACCTGGGATCTGAGTACCAGTGACATGACTAGAGATGTTAATCCCGGCGTGGAGGGTATAATGCAACGATTAGTCTTAAGCCCCGACAACAGATATGCTGCGGCTTTTACGACCAATTATCAAGTAAATCAATAATCTGATTTTTTGACAAACTGAGTTTTGAGAAAACAGAAAAATAAAACTCTTCTCAATTTAAAGTTAAATGAATTTTATCCTTCATTTTTACGTCTCAAACTTAATTATATCTTTTATTAACTCAGAGTTTCTCAATGTTCCGACGTTTTCGTTTTTGAGGAAAACTTCGAATTAATTCAAAATACAGTTTCTAGTTAGATATTTCATGACGCGTGATTTTCTATAGAGTGTCGTTTTGAACACCCTGACGAGCGAATTCGTCGTTATCGACAATCCTTTACCGAATGGGGATGCAGTGGCCGGCGTGCATCTGATGAATCAGTACGCCTTTATCTACGGGAAGCTAGGCTGGTGTAGATTCGACTTGCGGGGAAATCTGCTTGATACTCACAGCAACCCCGAAGATTCCAATAAATGGCCGATTTTATGTAAGAAGTAGATCATTATATTGAACATATATTTTCTACATCGTAATTCTTATTTTTGTGTTTCCTTATAGACGTGGAGTATACGAATCTGAATCTCTACAGAATTATATTCTGGTCGGGGAGTCTCGACGACACACGTATGCTTTTGCATACTTACAGGAAGAAGATATCATTGGATCCGTTCCAGTTTCACAGGTGAGAAAACAGAACTGTTATTAAATTAAACAAGGACAAAGAATTTAATTATAATTTACAGAATATAAATATTTTATATCTTAGATTATATATTATATTGGATTCTCTATATTTGACTCTTACATACCCTTCTTAATTTAGAACTGTTATTAACAGCAGTTGTGTTGGAAGAGCACAATAACAGAAGATTGTTGTGGATTTTTTCAGTGCTTTGATCATGACGAAGGACAAGGATATTTTGTACACGTGTACGAACAAGGATGATTATAGAATCACGAAATATAAAAGCGATGAGAGCTCATCTTATTGGGAAAAAGTTTTCGACATGCCGCGAGCGTACAATGACGACGTGGAGTATCTGTTACAGCTGAAGTTGGATAGAGAGGAAGAAATGCTCTTGGCGACGACCGGAAATGGATTCATCGTATGGTTTCTGGAAAGTAAAAGCGACGCGCATGTTTTAATGTTGCCAAACGGAGTCAGGAATATAAATACACGAATGATGTGTTCGAACTCTGTTATGGTCAGCGGCACCAAGAATTATGCTGTTGCTGGTGTAAGGTGCGCGTCATCTGAGAACTATCGTCGTTTTTATTTAGCTTGAAGTTTTATAGATGGCGAGAGAAAATGGAACTAGGAAACTTTATGAACAGATAATTCAATAATAAATGTTTATGCGCCGCTGATTCAATATCAAATCTAATCTAATAGATGATTTTATCAGAACAAATACATCGAGATGTAAACAATATTTTTAATTATGGCTAAAAGAGGAGAGGAATAAATAAATTGTATTTTAAAATGCAAAGAAATGACGAAAACTTATTCTGTTATGTATAACAAGAGTTTGATTTGAAGCTCTAAATAAATTCAAAATTAAAATTCTAAAAATTAATAAAGGAGTATAATATTGCATTTTGATAGAGAAGCAATTTTTTTCTAGCAGGGAATATTGCTCTTATTGAATAAATCACACGTATTATCGCGACATTCTATAAATTATAAAAAAAGAACAAAGTTACATAAATTTAAATTGTCTTTCTTAGGAAAAATCTGTACGTTTGGTCGCTCGAGACGTCTGATTTGGTAAAGATACTAGATGCGCACTTTGCAAGGATCATTCAATTGGAAGCGTTGACCGTCGGAAATTGGAATAGCGTTGTAACGTCGAGCATTGATAGAAGCGTCAAGGTGTGGAATATCAACAATATTTTCGAGCAAGTTCACGTTATCGACAGGCATGAACTACAGATAGACATGTTAAGGTAATCCTGTAAAGAAGAAACAGAAGTAGAAATTGCGCGTGTGATTCTTTTACTTTGTATATCGTAAAACAGTTTGGCTGAGGAGGGTAACTTGGCCGTTACCGTTACCAGAGATTGCGTAGGTGTTTGGGATTTATTAACGGGTAGACTAATATCGAAGCTGGCTGACAGCCCGTTGGGAGCAATTGTTACACACGCTTGCATTACGCAGGACAGCAAGTAAGTTAATTTCATCCAATTTAATCTCACCAAATTATGATTTAGTGGAATTGGATTTTTTTTATTGTGATGGAATTTAATCGAAAAAAGCTTGATAGAATTAAAAGTAATTTTCATCTCAGATATATTGTGTCGACGGAATCAGGCAACGTTCTCATTTGGAATAGAATTACGGAGCAAGTATTGTTCAAGGAGGAGCAAAAGAACGTCAAACAGTTAACGTTGATAGAAAAGTCGTCGAAATTCATAGCTGTTTCGAGGCCCAATAATCTCACGGGAGTAGAAAACGTGCGAACTACGGCGACTCTCGTCGTGAGAAGTATTCCTGGTACGGGAATTTTCAACAATTTCACACAGCGCGAATATTTTGCGAGAAGTTTTAATAAATATATGTCTCGTATTAGATGGTAGAACAATATTCTCTTTGGAGTATCCTGTAAGAAGTAATACCAGTACACCCTTCCGACAAGTGGTGATAACATCGGATGACGCTTTTCTGGCTGTACCAGCGGCTGACAAAGGCAGCAGAGATTGCGTTATAATTTATAGCGCGAAAACAGGAGCGCTGATCAGCAAAATACCTATAAAGTTGCCCGGATTTAAGGTAACGAGCTTGCTTATAGGCAAACCAATTATTGTATCATGGCGGAATAATTTTAAACATGACTCAAATAAAGATAAATATTTGGTAAACGTTTGATTTGTTATAAATTTAACAAAATTAAGTATATAATGCTAGAAAAATGTATATTAACAGGATATTGTATGTATTACACCGATGCCTAACAAATCCCAATGGGTAGGTATCATTGGTTCCGATAAAGGTACAATTCTTGATATTAACAAGAAAAAGATTATACGTACGATTCCAAAATGGAGCGGAAACATCAGCAAGGATGGCAAATACACTTTATACGCGCCTAGCAGGTGAGGAAACATTATTCAAACATATTTTTATTTGCGTATTCTATTACAAAAATCTATGTATAGACTAAATATATGTATTTTAGAGGTGGTCTCGAACTCATAGAATTAAAGAAAGGTACAAGCGTGAAAACCTATATACCTAAAGTGGCTGAAGGAGTGTTTACCGTTATATCAATGTTTAATCGTACAGACGAGTATGTGTTGTATTATCATAGCGGTCGAAAAACAATCAGAGTTTTCAGGTAAATATACGTTCAAGGATAATAGGGTTAATCTGTCAAATCATAAGAAGTTACTTCGAGATTTCGATCAAATCTTATTTATGCCTATATGACCGAGTACGTTTAGAATACATTATATATTATGTATGTACATTTCACAGATCTTCGGACTGTGAAATAATAGCAAATTACAGAGTACAAGCTGAATTAAGTGCCATCGATAGCACGCATGATGGTAAGAGCATTGTTTTGGGAACAGTCGATGGCTGCGTGTCAGTATTGGCGATAGCTGACCCTCAAAAACCTGAGATGACGGAATATCTTGAAAACGTGCCGTCTCGTGACGAAGAGGTGAGAAAGAAAACTTAATAAATATATACAAGTACTTGATGTTTTGGAGAAAGAAATAAAATCAAACTTGCTTACTGTTCCTAATAAATACATGCACTTGCTAGTAAATATATTTAAACCTAGGCTTGTTCTTTTTAGCTGACTACTTATACAGTTTATTTCTTTTCTCTTTTTTTTTTATATTAGAAAGCTTTCCCGCATGAGACACAGATGTCCCAGTCTAATATTATATCCTCAATGGCTGCGTTCAGCAGAACATTTATTTTGCAACTGCTGAAAGTTTTCTTTGCATTGATTGTATTATGCCTGTTTTACAGTAGTCACGAGTCGTAAGCTGTAAGAAATTGGCCAATCACAGTTATGGGTCTTCTACAATAAGCTATTAGTCATAAATCAGAAGTCAGAAGCTAAAAATTGACCAATTATAGCCGTCAATTTTTAGCTTCTGACTTCTGATTTATGACTAATAATGGCTTATTGTAGAAGGCCCATTAAGTGTCAGAAGAATAATCAACTGATTGGTTAATTTCTTACAGCTTACTATTTACGATTCTATTATAGAACAGGCTTTGTACTTTTAGATCTAAAGGAATGGTCATATCTCAGCAGACAATCATAAAACGGTTGCAAAACTGTTGTGTTCTGCTGAACGCAAACATTGTGTGCTAATGTTAAACAAAGATGAAATCACCATAGGCGTTTTTTTTCCATATCTCAGGACTGAACTTCATGCATGGTTCATTTTTCTCTTCAACATGAAAAAAAAATACTAAGATATTCATCTAAAAGAAAAAATTTTTCAGAAATGAAAAAAGTAAACAAAAATTCTCTTGTTATTTAATAAAATATTTTTTTATTTGCAACATGATAAACCACTGACTTTGAATTGTCAGTGTATACTAAAATAGAGAAACAAGTTCAGGAGTTCGTTCTAATAAAATGTCTTTTAACGCTCTCGTCAACAAAGTTGGCATGCATATAAACTTACTAGCAGTATACAATCTCCTATTTCATGTATTTTACCATAAAGTAAAATTAAAATTATGCATTAAAAATAATCTCTATATTAAAATTTTCGCCGAAGCGCGCCGAGACTCGTGTTTACATGAGCACACAAGTTAGGTTAGGGTTAGGTTAGGTTTATTATCGCAGCAAAAGAATGTAGGTCTGAAGGTTGTAGTTAGTAAATACAGTCGAGATAAATGTCGAGACTTACGCGAGGTGTTACCGATGGTCCCCCAGATATTCGCATTTGACGCAATCGTCGCCGATATATCGTCACACGGGGTAATCGTGGACCTCGCCGAGACGGTGCCGTCGGTCTTTCAGCTTCGTAACAATTTCAGCCTCTTTTCACGTCTTTCGTGTGACCTACGAGAAATCGCAACTGTATCACATCGTTCTATCACGTAGATCCACGTAGATCCTCGATCCCTCGGCGTACTCGAGCACGTGCAGCACGTGTCGCGTGTAAGCTATCCTATCGGCGTAAAGTTACGCATCGCCGTCGAATGGAATTCCTCTTCTTTCTCGTTAACGTAAAGATTTGTTCCTTTTGATGACGATTTGTCAATGGGAGAACAATTAATGAATCATCTACACTAGCAAGCAGATGAACACGAGCTTCACCGCTATCGCGTGCTCACGATATTAAATCCACACCTCTTGATCCCCTCGTGCTCGTGGCGCTCGTGCGGCTCGTGCAAGATCCAGTGAAAGTGGCGCTTGTGCGGATTCTAAAGCCTTCTGTCCACGATGCTAGAAATCGGTCCGAGATCTCGGACCGATTTCTAGCATCGTGGACACAAGGCTTAATGGTCTGTTTTCTGTTCCTGCACTAGACTATTCTAGAACTCTCTTTCTCGCTTTACATAAATATCAAACGTTTTTCTATCTCATTTTAAGTTCCAAAAGTGTACACTAGAAGTTTGTTCGCGTCGCATCCAACATACTCCTATTTCCTCCAACTGTAGCTCCTACTCACTCAAACGCGCTCGTTACCCTGGATCTACAATAGGGTTTTAAGCCTTAAGCCATAAAGGCCCGTCTACAATACACGGAGTAAGAAGTAAGAGTAAGAAATTGACCAATCACAGTCGAATGTGAGAAGAATAATCGACTCTGATTGGTCAATTTCTTACTCTTACTTCTTACTCCGTGTATTGTAGACGGGCCTTAAGAAATGAGCGAATCACAGTCGCTTATTCTTTTCGGATTCGACTGTAATTGGTCAATTTCTTATGGCTTAAGGATTAGAACTCTATTGTAGATCCGGAGTTAAGCCTGCGGCACACGATGCTTGTTTTCCTGCTGGATTGCTAGCTGGATTAGAATCTTGCCACTGTATTGTCACTGACAGCATCACATCCAATACGGTGGCAAGATTCTAATCCAGCTAGCAATCCAGTAGGAAAACAAGCATCGTGTGCGGCCGGCTTTAGAGTGAGTAGGAGCTATGGTAGGAACATGTTGAAGCATGTTGGAGTATGCGACGCGAACAAACCTTAGTTCAGCCACAGAAAACAGACCTTAAGGGGCTCCGCACAATAAAAGGAACAGGGAACAGAGAACAGAGAATAAGAATTTCAACCTATCAGAAATCATGTATTGTGGAATACGCAGTGTGTATTCCACAATACACGATTTCTAATAGGTTGAAATTCTTATACCCTTATTCATAGTCAGGCTTTATATTTAAGGCTTTCTTAAATTTATCTTCAGATACTCTACGAATTATTTCATTGGCTGCTGAGCATCTAAAGATAAATTTAAGGAAACCTCAAGTACAAGGTCTGACTATGAATACGGGTATTAAGCCGGCGGCACACGATGCTTGTTTTCTTGTTGGATTATTAGCTGGATTAGATTCTTGCCACCGTATTGGCTGCGATGCTGGCACTGTCAGCATCGCAGCCAATACCATGGCAAGAATCTAATCCAGCTAGCAATTCAGTAAGAAAACAAGCATCGTGTGCTGCTGGCTTTATTCTTTGTTCTCTGTTCCCTGTTCCTTTTATTGTGCGGAGTCCCTAAAGCTCCATGCACATTGGGCGCGTTCAAGTTGACAAAGGCGGCTAGCCTGCTCGCCGAGCAAATGAATATAATTGGTTGTTACATATAGATCCAACCAATCATATTCAATCGCTCGGTAAGCATAGCTTAGCTGCTTTGTTGTCTTGAATTGCCCAATGCAAAGGAATAGCGATAGCGATAGAAATAAGGCCGGAATCAGACTAATAGCGTTTTCGGCCCGGCCGGGTTTGCACCAACCTGGGTTGGATCAATGGCGTTTTGTGCTCTCCTATTGGTAGAGCGTGTAACGTCAACCAATAGGAAAGATTAATTCAACCAAGGTTGGTGCAAAACCCGATCGGGCCGAAAATGCTATAAGTATTGAAGAATGAGATTGAAGATTGAAAGATGAAGTTTGACCAATCAGGGTTGTGTTTCGATAGCTGAGTCAAAAATATTCTTTTTAATTACAAGGTTGGTAGCGCTGTAATTAATATAGCTGTGTTCCGTAAGAAATCAGCTGCAGTCGGGAAGACATAGACTGGTATTCATAGTCAGATCTTATATTCAAGACCGTCTTAAGTACGGTCTCAAGAAGTCTCGAACCAATCAGAAGACTGCATTAGTATCTTAAGACATTACTTAAGACAGTCTCGAAATAAGACTCAACTATGAATACCGGCCATAGGCTGCGTTCAGCAGACTCAGCAGTTTTGCAACCGTTTTATGATTCGTCGTGCTGATTGGATTATACTTTTAGATTTAAAGGAGTAGTCCTATCTCAGCGAAGAATCGCAAAACGGTTGCAAAACTGTTGAGTCTGCTGAACGCAGCCATAGAAAAACGTAAAGCGGGGAGCACAGACTCTTGCATAACGCATAACACATGAGGCATAAGAAATTGAACCAACCAGAGTTCTCTATTACATGGAAGGGAAAGAAACGGTGAACTTCGATTGGTACATATTCTTATGCATTACGTGTTATGCGTTATGCAAGAGTCTGTGCTCCCCGTTTTAGTCCGTAAGACGTAATCAGTAAGGAAATCGTAACATTGGATTCGCTACTACTGATCTTACGGTCTCTACTGTGATTGGTCAATTCACTTACTGCTTGAGTGTTATGGCCTTACGTTCTTGTATGTGTCATGGGCTTAACAGCGTAGTTTCCATTTGCTTTATCGATGTCAGCTGATTTCTTACGGAACACAGCTATGTTAATTACAACACTACCAACTTTGTAACTAAAAAGAATATTTTCGACACAGTTATCGGAACACAACCTAGAACAAAAGGAGCCAAAATTTCTATGTTTCTTCTTCTTGGTGAAATTTCAATCTTTAATCTTCAATCTCAATCTTCAATGCATAGTCTGATTCCGGCCTTAACACAATTTTAACCTATCAGAAATCAGATACACTAGAATGTACAATTTCTGATAGGTTGAAATCGTGTTATTTCTATCGCTATTCCTTCGTATTGTGTCTTAATAAGTAGGTAGATAACTGCAAATCATAGGTCGGTATTCATAGTTAATTTTTATTTTAAGACCGTCCTAAATAATGTCTTAAGTCGCTAATGCGGCCCTCCGATTGGCTCGTGACAACTTAAGACTGTACTTAAGACGGTCTTAAATGGGTGCTTTCCAATTGCTTAACACATCTTAACACAAACGTACATACACAAAAATACACAAAGTGTAAGGGCCACGGCACACAAAAATCTTAAGCAGTAAAATGTAAGCAGTAAGCGAATTGACCAATCACGGTAAAGTCTATAAGACCATAACGTAAGCTAATCCAACATGTTAATTTTCATACTGCTTATGCTGGATTCACTCACCGTGCATCCGATTTGTGTCGTACGACGCTCTGCAACCAATCAGAAAATAGGATTCCGACGATACGAAGCAAAATCCATCTGAATCCTGTTTTCTGATTGGTTGCAGAGCGTCGTACGACGCACATCGGATGCAGTGTGAATCCAGCATTAGTTCCGCATTTCTCTAATCTTCCGCGAAATACGCCCAATGTGAATGCCGGCTTTCAGAACGGCGTATTCTAGTAAATAAAAAATAACGTATTCTAGTAAATTATTAGAATATGCAGATTACTCTTACGCAGGTTATGCCGCATGTGACGGCACCCTTAGGATGATGTCCCATGCAGCGGATCGTGCGTAAGCGGATTCGCGTATCGCCAATCACAGAATTATTCTCTTAGATCTGTTTGCAAATTTCGCAAGCATATCTAAGAGAATGATTCTGTGATTGGCGATACGCGAATCCGCTTACGCACGATCCACTGCATGGGACATCACCCTCATTCTTCAATGCGTAGTCTGCTTCCGGAACTGAACTATATATACACTGGAATGGGCATCAAGGAAAATTCGTAGCCGCAATTGATCAGCCACCATTTTGGTGGGGTGCGATATTTGAGCAAATTAGAAGCGTTCGCGCGCGCGTTGCGATCGATGTATCGAATCAAGGGGTGATCCCGATTGACCACGGCTCGATTGGACACCACTAATCACAGCGACCGGTGCTTAAGAGCTTTGTAGTCTTAGGCTGGTATTCATAGTCAGATCTTATATGCAAGACCGTCTTAAGTACGATCTTAAGAAGTCACGAACCAATCAGAGGGCTGCATTAGCGTCTTAAGACATTACTTAAGACGGTCTTGAAATAAGAATCGACTATGAATACCAGCCTTAAGCGCTGTGAGTGGCTCGTGTCCAATTGAGCCGTGTCCAACTGGGTGCCACCCTTATGTTTTATTATATATCAGTCCAATGAGAAGATAAAGCTCGTTTAATATAAATTCAGAAAATGGAATCTAAAATAAGAACCAACTAAGGGTGATATTCATGATCCGTTCTTATTTTAAGACCATCTTAAGATGCTAATGTCTTAAGATGCTAATTCTGATTGGTTCATAACATCTTAAGATGATCTTAATTAAATATGAGATCCGACTATTGAAATCTAATTATATCTATGGTATAACGAAAAAACTGCGCATGTGCGATTAAAACCGCGAAAACAATGCAAAATTTGAAAATAATCCAGAGAATACGAGTCTCGTTCTACGAATTTTGTTCAAGTTTGTTTCTGTTTTTTTTTTCTAATCACTTATGACTCGTCGACTTTCTGTTTCAGTGGAAGAAGAAGACCGAGAAGCATCGGGCGGCGATAAAATTCAAAGCTGCTGCCCGGATCGCCCGCGTGACGCACGATTTGTCCACGAGCGTGAAGTCAACTGGTGATGTCTCGCAAACGATCGAGGAAGCGGATGAAAACGCAGAATGAAACTATAAGTGAACTCCGTGCATCGCTGCGGAAGCTAGTATTTCGTATTGTCACACTTCGTAGTCAAGCTTTCTTGGAAAAAGAATGAAAAAAATGGCAAAAGCCTCGTTAGCATTATAAGCAGGGGCTGGGGCACGCATTTGAAATACTTTTATTTAAAATACATTATTTGTAATACAAATGTATTTTGTATTTCAGCGCGGAGCATTTGAAAGTATTACGTATTTTGTATTTAAAATCAAAAGATTAAGTTATTTTTATTTTTTGTAATTTTCAAATAATAAGATTGATTGTTAATTATAGTATTCGAAATACAAAATACTTCCAAGCTTTCGTTATTAA